ACCTGTCGTCTTCCACAGGGACTGCAGCAGGACATGATGTTTTCCTAACTCTGTCGATACTGCAATGTGGGGGGCTCTGGGCAGCATATACTTATCTTAACAGTGCAGCGTCGTCCCGTTCCGAAGAATGTGATGACATTTGAGCTGAGGTTGCGCGTGTCGAGAAATTACCAAACCGCCACCACCAGTCAATATCATAGCTCAGCTCCGCTTTAGCCGCCTACATGAAAAGCGTGGGGTTTCTTACCTGACGGGTCCGAGCACGAGGCCGCAGCAACCGTAGACTCTTGCTGTGATCAACTCCAAGCATCGTTGAATTATGGTACGCGCCGATCTCTTATTGCGACCGCATCTACGCAACGCTACGCAACGCAACCGTTATACTTTAGCGGTGTGCGTACACACACGTAAGTATGTAAAGCTGGAATCCATACCTACCTCCTACATAGTGTACTCGATTTACAAGTGCTCTCTCGGAATGACGAATCGGCCATCGATCAATCCGACAACGGGAACTAGTGAACTACTTTTAGTTGTTTCAAGAAACGAAATGGACCAGCTTCTAGCCGTTTAACATTAACAACCGATCTCCCCCAAGAGACCATCAACGATTTACTCATTTTCCAAGAAGCGCAACGCTTACGATTTCTTTAGCTAGTAGGCTCGAAATGAAGCGGGCTTCAAAGCCTCACGATAACTTAGACGCCAATGACTGGCGCCAGTTTGATGAGATACCATTTATGTCAGTCCCCTCTTAACAGGTCCACTTGAAAAGATACTGTTACACCTAAGTCAGCGTTTTCTTACCAACCCCCTTCTCACTAATGCGAAATCTTGCATCTTCATTTACTGCTTTTTAAGATTATTTTCATAACTACTTTTATTAGCATCTCGTTCCTGCAGTAGGGTAATTGGCTTTGTGTCACGACCGGCAGCTTTAAGCTTTTACTGAGGAAAAATATCCTTGTCCATTTAAGAAGTAGTTACTTTTTGAATTACGACGTTGTGGAAAGGGTATCCTATCTTTGATCATGACGATTTATCATTTTTGAGCAACTACATACATACCCTAACCCCCCCTGGAAGAAACCGTGCGCCAACTATTCCTCTTCCGTAAAAGCTTGGCTCTTATTATGTACATCTGAGAAGCGGGAAGTTCCCTTTGTTAACTTTGGTGGTCGTTCAGTTTAGGATACTCTCGGAATTAGGCCGCTATCCTACTTTTTCGTGCTGTAAAGATGATGGTGAAGGCAACCAATTACCAGCGACGCTACCTAGTGTCTAATCCGTACCGTCTTTCTATATACCTCATCCTCGCCCCCGCCCGCCTTGACTTCAGAGCCGATCTTTGCCCCGAGGTCTAGATCATGCATAGGTCGCGCATTTGCCAGCTACTACGTCGGGCTTCCGCCAACTGCCATGGTTACTCAGGTCGGCGACCAGACAATTTGACAACTGCGAAGATCCTTTCTTGGCAACTTCATCTCTTGGCAGTCTGCAGCCGACGACGCTGTGCTCACACAGCCCCAAGGGAAAATGCTGCATGTCTTGGAGATCGTTCATCCGAACAAATGCTGCGAGAACCCGAAGTTCTTCGAAAGTCTTCGTATGTGGACATACGGTATGTCATGGAAACGGGTCCTTGCAGTCACTCCTCCCATTAAGGCTATCGCGAACTATAGGTAGGTAGCAGATATGCCGCCGTCCACCTCGTAGACCTCGTTACTCATAGATAACCGGGCCGGCATACTGTTTAACGGCGCGCAAAGTTTAGCCCAAATCCATGGCCATGGCCATGGGATGGTGCCCCTTTACACGAAAGCTCGTGATCCCGCGGCGTACAAAATATGTTTCTTTAGAACCGCATAATTACCATCCCGATTCATAAGTAACCGAGACCTATGATAAGCCACTATTACCATATTCAGCTCTCATAGCTTTCTATAGCTATGCCTTTCTGAGGCGAGAAACCACCAAGCAGGTACGCGTATGGTTTCGGGTCATGACAAGGTTTAAGAGGGTAACAAAGCTCGGGGGGGCGGACGTAAGGGAGATTCCGCCTGTCGGGTCCTGTTTATTCTTTGCATAGCTAGGAGATATCCAGTCCGTTACGTGGCAGGCCAGTTCCACTGCACCCTCACTGCTGGGCCTCCGTCTTGCCTAACGGCGGACGCCATGGGCGGTCCCCCATTACCCCCAGCATGGCCGCGTTGAGCACTCTGTGACCTGGCTATGTCTTTTATCAGAATGATCGACAGTACCTAGACGGCCCGAGTCGGCATTTAGAAGCCAATATACCAAGAAGGGTATCGTGCAATGGCGCCTTCGAGACTGCTTTTCTGCAAGTGCTTCCTTAGTGGCAGACGCAGATGTCTACCTATACTCTATATGTGTAAGGAAGAAGAAGAGTAGGTACATCTTGCAACGGTTCCGTCATCGCAATCTTTCTCCCCACAAACTCGTCCCGTGATCGTGACCCCTGCGTAAGATCGATGTTTAACAACAGCACAACCGGCAGAGCAGTTTAATGAGGTGCGCTAGATGTAGACGGAGATCAGTCACACTGGTTCTACGGGGTATGTCTCGCATCGCTTCCGAGTTGTGACGGGTATATGCTCGTCATTGACTCTTTTTTTTCCGTGGAGAGACACGGTACAGAATCGGAAATGCCCCCCAGGAACACCATAATTCCAACCCTAGAAGTGTGTATTCTTCTTTTCTCCGCCACGAACATTTATTAGTATCGTTCGTATCGTAGACATAAGCGTTGTGCAGGGCAGCCTCGTTTTCCGTCTCGACAAGCCCTAATAAAGTACAAACCAGGTACAGTGGACATCTCGAGCGGGGAGTGGATAAAGAAACCTGCGAAATTCCGATAGTTCTGGTGATCGTCATTAATGCATTTAAGGCGCTAAGACCGGGGGGTAGATGCGTCTATGTAGGAGCGTTTTTTCTTTTCATATCATTTGTTATCTCTCTATCTAGTGTAGTAGTAGCCTTGTAGTTACTAGTTCTTACGCTTTGTTTTTCTTTTATTTTCTTTTTTCCTTCTTTTTTGAATGAGTGACGTAAATCCCCCAGCAAATTAGCCACAGAGACACGAAAATTGGTCGCCAACCAGTCAAGAGGTCAGATCAAGATTGTTTATATAATCAGACCCGTTAAATCTATTATAATTTCGGTCAAATAAGCTGTCTATAATTTATCACTGTCGACCCCTATTTTGTCTTCCCGTGGAGGCTCACTCCGGAAGTTACCCGGCCCGCTTTACGAAGCCCGATATCCCAGTCTATATGCCGAAGGAGAGAGGTATATGTGAATAGAAAATGCCAAGATTGTAACGACATTTGTAAGGAAATGGTCCTCCATCAATGTCCATCAATGTAATTGAAATGTCTTGGCACGCTGTGACTTGGACGGTGTGTCCGGTCACCTAGGTTACTACTACAACTGCTAAGACTCTGGAGATTGCGGTGTTGTAATGTCTTTGAATTATCGGTTCTTCATCCATCAGTTCTCATTTGAAACAGATGCGGGTGGAACAGCTAAAGCATCTGAAATCTGTAGCGTCACGGAGCCGTCTTTCTCGCTTCGGACCATTTTGACGGACTGCAGATCTCGGACGATCCAATCGGGCTCGGCGGCAAGCACCTGTTCGGTCGTGTGGCTCGTAACCAAGCCTAACACCTTACATCCTGCGGCCTTGCCGGACCTGATACCAGCAGGACTATCTTCCAAGACGAGGATTTCAAGACTATCATCAGAACTAAGCCCGAGCTTCTCTCGCCCTAGATCGTAGCATGCTGGGTCGGGCTTTCCGTTGGCGACGGACTCGGCTGTGACCAAGTTCGTCGGATGCGGCAGCTTCAATACGTCAAGCCAGCCCGTTACCAACGGCATGGTACCCGAAGTCACGATGGCCCAGCGCCCAGATGCAGCGATCAAGGCGTCAAGGAGGGCTCTCGCGCCTGGAATCTCGACGGCGTCTGCGCCGTGCAGCTTCGGGAGTAAACCCTCCATATGTCTCACATCTAACCATATAGATTAGTCGATGAATTCAGGGGGGTAGATGTAGGCACCGTCGCGGAGTAAAACATATTTAAGGGGGGCGAGAAGTAGGGCCGCAAGGGGCAACGTGAAAGGAGATCAGGGGAAAGGAGGAGAAAGGGAGAAACGTTTCAACCACCGCGACTTCGTTGAAACCTATATATACGTATAGCGTGAACTCACATTCCCAGTTGGCCTTTTCCGGACTGAGCACCTTGAGCATGTCTATGCTCCGACGGCCGTGAGACGTCTGCAGGATAACCTCCGGGTCTACGCCGATTTCATTTCCGACCCTACCACCTCTAACTTAGGGCCGATTCTCAAATATCCCTCTCTTCCTGCGAGGGGGAAACTTACGTTTGCCAGTGCTTGACGACAGCGGCTGTCGAATCGATGATTGTGCCGTCCATATCGAAGAGTAGCCCCTTGAAGGAGACCTCGAACGGAGGTGTTGTGTAGTCCATTATGAAAATATGATATTTGCGTTCTCTTGTGTACTGTATTAAGTGTATATTCTAAAAAATGAAATGGAGATAAATAAATCGGAGTTAAGGTGGCAGCAGTTACACGTTTTTATATAGAAGATTATAAAATTGGCTTTTCGCCGACAAGCGACTTATATGTTAAAATCCGATCGGGATAGGTGTGACCGAATTAGGAAACTCCGCTCTTGCGGTTCCATCAAATTGGGTAGTATCTTAGTCCGGCGAAATTGAAGCCATCGTGAGGCCTAAACACCGCTAAAAAGATCTAAGTTTTAAGGGACCTTCAATGGAGGTGTTCTTATCGGTAAGCGGGGTCAGCAAATCGGCTGGCCTAGTGGGGTTCCATCCCGGGCGGTGACTAACGGCAGAAGCTTATCGCATTTTTTCTACACTAAATTTCTAAACTTTTTTTGCTGATAACCTTCAAAGTACAATTCATATACAATTGCCAGGCACAGCAAGTTAAAAATGGCCAATCATATCACAAAACCGAAGAGTATGTTTAATTAAGTTCCAATTGATATTTCTTTATGAATAGCACATCAACTAACTCATTGTGCAGAGGCCAAGTCCAAGCGGACTCCCGTTCGTCTACGACATAAAATCGAGAAGGCCTCGGCCGCAAAGCAGCGCAAAGCCAGAAAAGAAGCCAAGAAGAACCCACAATGGACGTCCAAGCTGAAGAAGGACCCTGGTATCCCCAACCTATTCCCCTACAAGGAGAAGATCCTACATGAAATTGAAGAGGGTCGACGAAGGAAACAAGAGGAACAGCAACGCCGGAAAGAGTTAGCTAAGGCTGCGAAGACCGGTTCTACGAACGAAGCTGAGAAGGACGAAGATGCTATGGATGGCGCTGAGGATGGAGACTTCGACGGATTTTCCGAAGATAATGATGATGCGATGGATGAGGACAATGTGGATGATTCCTTAGATCCCATGGCGGCACTTATTGCGAGCGCCAGAGCTGCTGCCGATAAGTATGATCGGGAACTCCAAAGTGGAGACGACATGGAAGGAGACGAGTCATCAGATGACGATTTCGAAGATGGGAGCGCTGAGCTGCGCGCTCAATCCTCGTCGCGGAAAGCCCACGACAAGGTCTTCAAGCAAGTTGTAGACCAAGCAGATGTCGTCCTCTATGTTTTAGATGCCAGAGACCCAGAAGGAACGAGGTCGAGAGAAGTCGAACGCATGGTGATGGCAGCGGCAAGCGGCGGCAAGAGGTTAATACTCATCCTCAACAAGATCGACTTAGTCCCGTCGCATGTCCTTAAGGACTGGCTCACATACCTACGGAGATATTTCCCTACACTTCCACTACGCGCTTCTGGCTCCGCGCCCAATGCGCAGACCTTCAATCACCGCGATCTCACCGTCCAAAGTACCTCATCTACGCTCTTCAAGTCCCTAAAATCCTTCGCCGCTACTAAGCAGCTCAAGCGCGCTGTGTCAGTCGGTGTTATCGGCTACCCCAACGTCGGCAAGTCTTCTGTCATCAATGCGCTACTCTCGCGAGTTGGCGGCGGCCGCAGTGCTGCTGCTTGCCCCGCGGGCGCCGAGGCGGGTGTAACAACAAGCATCCGCGCGGTTAAGATCGACAGCAAGCTCACGCTTCTCGACTCCCCCGGGATCGTATTCCCTTCCGCGTCAGCGCCGACAAGCGAGGCTCCATCGAAGAAGAGCGCCGTAGAGGCGCACGCTCACCTGGTTCTTCTCAACGCCATCCCGCCGAAGCAGATCGACGATCCGATACCGGCTGTCACGCTGCTACTTAGGAGACTAGGGGCGTCGCCGGAACTCCTCCAGAGACTTATGGATGTGTATGACATCCCGCCGCTAATGACGGCTGCGGACGGAGACGCTACGACGGATTTCCTGGTCCAGGTCGCGCGGAAGCGTGGACGGCTCGGGCGCGGCGGAGTGCCGAATCTCACGGCGGCTGGTATGACGGTCGTGACGGACTGGCGCGACGGACGTATACAGGGATGGGTCGATGCGCCGGTGTTGCCGGTCGCGACGGAGATATCGGCTACGGCGGTGTCGGCGAGCGCGTCGACGGCTATGCCGGATCAGAAGGAGATCGTTACGGAGTGGGCGAAGGAGTTTAAGCTTGAGGGGCTGTGGGGAGATGATGGGGAGAAGGATGGGGATAAGATGGAGCAGTGAGAGGGCCGTTCATTCAGGCTGAAAGTTAATGTCTTAAGAAGGAGGAAGATGGAGAGAAATATATGATGGCGGTTCTGAAATAGGACTGAGGAGGGTGTGGGTGCGAATGCGCCGCGACTTAGGTACTTAGCCTGACTTGACTTATATTTCAGGACTGGAGTTAGGGACTGGGAAAATAGGTTGCGTTTCGAGACGTTGCTTTGATGATGGTCTTGATCTGGTCTTTGTTGATTGGTACTTAGATATGAGATGAGATGAGTATGATGAGGTGAGTATGATGAGGTGAAGTGGAGTGAATATACCAAGTCTCGCGTATAATCGTGGTGTTAAGTGTCCATGACAGTGAACTTAGGGGGTGTCCTAGAGTTCGAGATCGTAAAGGGGTGTTATCAACATACCGCTACACCGCTAAAAGGTTATTTGGTAACAGATTTTATTCTATTACATATTATATATGTCGGGTAGATATTTATATCTAACAGGTTTTTGTGTAATCGTGGTAACAATATTCAGTGCCTACGGCACAATTTTATTAAGTAAATGAGTTAGGATTGGTGAGGTCTTCATGCTAGTGGTGTGATGCTTTTATTTATTGTAGAGTGTAAGTTTATTGTGTATATAGGTTTAGGTTGCTAATATAGGTATGCTCTGAAAAATAATTGTCACGGTAGTAGTTATATAGACTAACTAACTAACTAGACTCCATGCTTCTCTTATACTTTCGATCCCCCCCCCCGTGTCAGGCGGGTATGGTGAGTGTCAACACGATAGCAAGAGAATATTCCCTTTGCCCGTTGTACGTTGTTTGGCCTTGCTGGCGGTTGTGGTGAATAGGAGGAGCCTATGTATTTGCAGAATATTCGTCACTTGACCTTATGATGTTTAAGCTGTAATAGATACCTGTAGGTATTATTAGCTAGTAATAAATTCCGCTTTCAGGATATAAGTTATGCTTATAATATACTCTTTTCCTTCATCTAGTCTCCCCTAATCTGCCTTACTCTCGAAACTCAACATAGATGGATTTCAACTTCGGTTTTCGGATCATCCTTGAGGACTTCCTCATCTATTATTCTATGGACATAGCTAGAGCCGACAATCTCGAAACGATGCTCTATGGGAGCATGGCAATCCTTTGGCTTCGGCTCCTGGTTACCAACTTGTCGTAAGATGTAAGGCAGCGCGCTACCTCGTAACACAAACACCTTATCGCCGGTAACCATCCCTGGGGGACCAAGGCCCATGAGTCCCTGGCTAGTAATGAAGAAGCGATTGTTCCCTGCTGTTGGTATAATGACAGATGAGATATGGTTCATCCAACTTGAGAACAGCCTATCTCTATTTAATTCGTCAATGTGGACTATAGCTTCCCAGCAATTCCGATATAACTCTTCATCGCTCTCGTATAACTGTCTCCTTTCGGGCCCTTTATATCCGGATCGAAAGTAGTTTCGTACTGGAATGCCCGGCCCAAGTGGTATTCGTTCAGTTGTGCATACCACGTCTCCGCCCAGAGTGCTTTTGAAAGCATCCGAGTTAGATTGTCCATTGACGTACGGGTTATCCAGGTCCAGCCCGTGCTTGTGAATTAGTCGTTCCCATCCTATCAGATCCTCGATAGTTGTGCCTTTGGCAATGTCGCATGTATCTCCTATTGACGTGACCACATCAACTATCAGCCCATCGACTACGAGCTCTGAATTGCAACAAATACGGGCTTTGGATAACTAGCCCGCCTACATTGTATAGCCCCTGGCCACTCTCTAGTTCTCGGAATCCATCTTCGCTGTCAATCTGGATAGTCCAATCGTGAACCCACGAGGGGAGACGCAGTCTTTTCAAAGAGCTCTGCGCCCCTTGCAAAATGTTTAAGGAGCCGCTTTCCTCTATCAACTTCATAGTTGTGGGTGTCGTGAGCAATCAGTTGTGGTATAATCTCTACTGTCTTTGCAAGGAAATTTTTGATGAAATTGCGTTGGTCCTCTGGGAGCGTATCCATATCGTTTCCACAGCAGTTTTCCCTATGCAGACCTAGGAAAAACTGCGCCTTGAGTAATATATCGAACGGTATCATGACATGGTATATTATGATCTGGAGGTCTTGGGCGAGACGGGCTTCCTGGACGGTCTATACTCTGTCCCACTGGGCACTATTCATCTAGCGTACTAAGACTTTGAACCCTTCGATATAGGAAGATGCGACTGTGAGCTCCACCTCGTACAGAGAACTCTTGGTATAAGTAATCTTTTCGAAAAGTGGTGAGTCCTTCAGATGATTCTCTTCTCCCAAATCTGCAAGCGTACGCAGAAACTGAATAGCGGCCCTGGTGTTATGTACTTCGGGGCTATTGGGCCCGCCAAAGCGGCTTTTGAGAGAACTGGTGTTATCTATCTCATCGGCACTGACGATACTTCCCTCGGGATTCACGATTCCGTTATCATTCGGTGTTCCTAGCCAGCAGAGAACCTGCTTAGCGTTAGAATAGAGCTGGCCCCATAAGTGCGACTTGATATTCCCGCTCTGAAATATTCTCCTGGTCAATACAGATAGCATCGATCCAAATAATGCGCTCTGTGTCGGATTTTTGGTTAAATTGAAGTGCGGTGTAGAGATTGGGAGTTACTGCAAAGTCGTTGCCTTCGAGTGGAAAGAGGTTATCTTTAGTGAGCACGATATGCTGAAGATTAGTATTTGTCCCCCATACGTAGGACAGTGCCTCATAGGTTGGCTTATCGTCCAAAGAGCATTTGGATATATGACAAGAGATGAGGCTCGAAAGTCGACCCGGGTGTAGATGCAGTAGTCAAATCTCATGGCGTGAGTGATCCAGACATGAATAATGACGGCTGTTTTTTTTTGGCATATTGAACACCAGAGGCAAAATCTAACAGCACAAATCTGTAAATAGGTATACTCGACAAGAGAGAAGTTTCATAGGCAATACAATGGCGCCGATAGAGTAGAGACATATGGAACAAAGATATAGAAGTATGAATATATATAAACTCAATTGTGAATAGCCTCAGCCACGTAGTATGCCTAGCGTAGCCCCCGTGTATTAATACTTATTGAGCAATATTAGGTATTATGTTGACATGTCATATTCAGTACATGGCAAGGCATACCATACCTGTTATGTCTATCTTGTTATAACTATTGATCCTACGGCTACGAACGTTGACAATTAACAGTTTAAAATATTTTAAGAAACCACGGCAACCTCGTGCTAGAACACATTATGAATTAAATATATCAATTTCGAAGCTAGGTCCGGTTTTATCGAATGTCCCTAATATTTAAATTGTCATAAATAAGTTAGGGAATGGGGTAAAGTTCCAAAGCACCGCCTCATCCTACACGGAATATATAAAAACTATTATTATTATCTACATGATCCCAGGCCTTGCCATTGAACGGACCATGATGTAATTGTGCAACGATACGAACGAGAAACGAGAACACAATTAGGTTAGGATTTAAAGAATCATAAACCCGTCTACCATGACCAGGAGATCGTTGTCTTAGGTATCTCAGTAACTTAAACATTTAGCAGTAATAAATGGTACAGGAGAAACGAACTTAGGCATTTAAATATACCTATACATTAACTACTGTGAGATATCGCTTATGTCCACTTGATATTTCTAATCTTGTGTACCTCATTGCATAGACTGTTTTGTGGTAGTTATATCATGGTACTTTTGAATTTCCATTAACAGTCATTAAGAGGACTAAGGTAGTTGTCTTCTATTACTAATAAGTCTATCCAACTATTACTTAACATTAGTCTTAAGTTAACTAGCGTATTATTATAGGTTCCTAAGGGAATAAATCTATCAACCGATTTATGCAAACGATTAATGACTATAGTGCCTCTAATGAAAACCACGTGCTCAACTTACACTATACTCGAGGTTATTAAATGTCTTCAATATCTTATGTAAGGGTGATGATGATGGATCTGGATGGATCATCTAGGAAGATACGAAACTTCAAAACATTATTGTCATCGGCATCACTATTAATCACGGCATGTTGAGCCAGTGTCCCCGCTGGACACGGTCTTGGATTTTGTTATGATAGGGGCAACGGGGCATTTGTTGAGATTTGATAGCTATATGAAGATGCTGATATACAGTACCTACACTCTGTTCACGATGTAGCATACACTATCTTCCATGATAATTATATAATTTGTTTCATTTCCGGGACGAACCGCTCAGATACTTTCAACCCTTCTCATGTGACTCTTTTGACCGGGTTTATATGCTCGACATTACATCCACGGCTCTTATCTTGACACCTAGTCTGGCAGCCCTGGATGCGGTTGTATCAGATATCATCTGCATCTGGGTTGGCTTATGTGATGATTGTATTGCAGCGATACCAGCCATATTGCCGCTTTTAAGGGTATCATTTGTCGAAAGGGGTGTTCGTATGGAGTACCGGCAGCAGGGAAAGGGAGGTCTACCAGGATTAACCGAGATATCAGGAGCCGGGGACACGGACAGCTACGTAGATGATTCAACGATGAGGACATCAAATCCCTTCTAACTCTTCTAATGTATTCGGTATCTTAAACCCGGGAATGGATGTCCCCTCACAAGCTAATAGATACGAGATATGTGCATGGAGCTCATACACAGCATTTCGATCGACCTACAATTAGTGGACAAAAAAACCGAACACTTTAAATTTTAATATATTAAACTTTATTTAAATTTACAACGTTTAATAATATTATATTAAAAAAATCATATATGTAAACTAATATTTATTTTATTTATTATATTTAATTTTAATTTTAGATCTTTAAAAAAGTAAAATTTAAAAATGTAAAAAATACATATTTATATAATTGTTTATTAACCATTTTAAACCTACGTTATAATCTAAATTGTTTAACTTTTAAATTTTTCTATTTTTTTATTAAAAATAGATTTCATTTAATTATATAAAAATGATATTTTTATATTTATACAATTAAAATTGGTAAAGT